ACACACACACACACACACACACACACACACACACACATATATATATATATACACACACACACACACACATATATATATATATATATATATATATATATATATATATATATATATATATATATATATATATATATATATATATATGTGTGTGTGTGTGTATGTATATGTGTATATATGTATGTATGTATGTATGTATGTATGTGTGTGTGTGTGTTATGGAATTATTTTAATTTGTTATTTTAATTCATCGTGCAACTGTGTTTCTAGAAAGACTTTTGTTTTTAAAATCTTGAATCTTCTCTGGGCAAATTACACGTGCAACACTCATCCTTTATAGATTCTGCTTCAGTGAAGGGTTTCCTGTGCTGTGCGATTAGCTGGGCTAACTTAGCCAGCATAGAATTTTCTTGCACTTTATTAGCACGAGCATTTTTGTATGGTGGGCCAGATTCTATTAATATTCATAAAAAGCCTCGTGGGCCACCACAAAACTGATTGCGGGCCGCAGATGGCCCTAGATTGCCCTAGACAATCCTAATCCAACATTTCTACGATTCTGCCAATCATATTTTCAAGTTCAGAAGAGAAGTAAAGGCGGCTGCACGAGTCTTTTCATTGTTTCACATCTGTTGCTCAGTGACATTGACACCTCCAAATGATGTTGAATGAGTTACATACTGTATTTATAAGGTGTAATTAACCTAAAAAATGTCATTACTGTCTTCATATAATGATGTTTTCATGATCGAGAAATCACACATGACGTGAGCTGCTGACCGTGAGCTGTTATCACAAAAAGGGCGCGCGCTTTACTTAATGATAGACGCGCACGCGTCTACTTTAGTAAACAGAACCTGCATATGTTGTGAGTAACAGGTAATAGTTTGTGGCACAGGGTGATCGTTTGGGAGTCGCGCGTGAAGTATGAACAGCACTTAGCAGTCAAAATGAAACCGAAAGTGTGCACGTCATTTAAATTATCATATCGCATTTTAGAGTTATGATTACGACAAGCATTTGATAAGTTTTTTCTTTCATAGCGAACCCACAGTTGTGCATGAAAATAAATGTTTACAGTGTCAGTATAACTACTCTAGCCTATATATTGTTGAATATAACCTGATAATGGCAATGTCAATTTTACCAGTGAATTAAATTGTCTAATATGACAGATTGCGAGCATAAATCTCAAACATAATTATTATAAGTAGAATAGAATTATTTATAGAAACCAGTAGACCTACATATAATATTATTATCGATGTTGTGCCATATGTTTGTTTTTACCATACCTTTATTTTACATCTGCAGAATCCTGAGTAAATCGTGATCTTTATTTTAAGCAAAAAAAATTGCGATTCTCATTTTAGCCAGAATCGTGCAGCTCTACCGCACGCTGAATGGAAAAAAACAAAAAAACTTTGTATTTTGCGATGCAGGTGTCTGTGGTCTGCACTGACTCAATAGGTGCAAAGAATAGTCAAACAGCCGTGTGTGTGTGGACTATCCTGTCGCAAAACATGGCGAAAAGTCCTATAGGATGATAATAGTTTAAATGTGATGTTTACATGTCTGTAGTACACTTCAATAATGTGACTAAAATCGCACTTAATTCCATTTCTCTTTAGATCGATTATGACCTTAATCTGATTAAATTAATCAAAAATCTCTGTTTACATGGTTAACTCTTAATCAGAGTATTGTCTTAATCGCATTAAAATTAATTATTGGTGTCCATGCAGACCTACTCAATAAGGCTTTAGGCTCCTTTTCATTAAAGGTATTACTTGAAAGTTTTTACTTTCAAGTACTTCTTTACCAAAGTAAAATCATAATTGACTTTAACATACAAACACTTTAGCCAGCATTTTGTCAGCCTACTGGGCTCACCTGACCAGGCAAATGACAAGAAAGTTTCTATAACTGCAGAATGAGTCTGTGCAACTTCAACGTTGACATTTGGTATATTAATGCTTCATTAGCTCACACAACTCATGAAACATCTGAAATTCAACAGAATTCATGGATTGTTTTAATGTATTGTGTAGTTAATTGACTGATTTCTAAAGATTAAGTCATTCACTTTCAGGCGATTTTTTTCTGTACCTAAATGATACTGTGACCTACTTGACCAAGAAAAGAACCAACTCAAAGATTCATTGGTGGATTGTGGAAATCTAGCTCTAATTCCACATTACCAGACTTTCATGAGAAATACTGCTACATACTGATGAAGATGCAGAAGCTTAAAAAAACAAAACCCTCACCTTCTGTCTGACCCTTCTCTTGAAGCTCTTTGATTTTATTCTCCAGTCTCTTCAGTTCTTCTTGATATTTCTCCTCTGCTTCACGTCTGCCTCTGTTCTCCTGAGCTTTCACAAACATCGGAGTCGAATATGCTTTAGTCTTCATCTTCTCTATTAACTTCAGCAGTTCTGGGATCTGTCGTGAGCTTGCAGGTTCTTTTAGACCCATAACACAGTAAAGACCTCCACACTGACTGATCAACTTTTGACATTCTGGGCTGGATTTTATGAAGTCCCTCACTGGACTTTTAACTGTGCCATCACTGATAAATATCATTATGAAATGCTGCTTGGTGTCAAATATCTTAAAAACCTTCTCAACTTCCAATTTGTCTCCATCAGTCAGTGATCCAACAGGAATAATGAGGAGGAAAGCATGAACTCCAGGATGACAGAGAGACACACAGTGGAGAGTCTGACGCATCACTTCATCTTCTGAGAGACGAGTGAGAGCTGGAAGCTCCAGCAGACTTATATGACGACCGTGAACCTTCTCCTCTTTCTTAAAAAACTCTTCACTGCTTGATCTCTGGTGTGAAGTAGCAATCGATTTTCCTCGTAAAAGTTTGGACACTGAGACCTTAAGTGATCCATCACTTCCACACAGCACCAGATTCAGCTTCTGTTTGCCAGAGATATTTACTGGCACTTGAAAACATAAAAACACATTGAACTTAGTAATAATACAAACAAATTCACCCAGAAAGCAATATTCTCACTCCTAATAGTTTAATCTACTTACAGTTGGTGTGCATCCACTCTTGTATATCAACTGCAAATAGAATTTTTTTTTAGAAATACGACACAAAGATCATTTTAAATGATTAAGCAGCTACTGTTCTGTTTATTAAGTCAGGGTGTTTCCTTATTAAACGGTTATCTCAGAATAGATTTAAAAACATCTGCCAGTTTCAGCTGGTAGTATAATAGTATGTATACTGCCCACTAATACCATGTATTGAACCCACCTGAAACACATAGATGCAGATCTGGCATAGAGCCACAGGGGCTCAAGCTATCAGTTATCAAAATAAATGTGTAAGAGAGAGTGAGTGTGTGTGTGTGTGTGTGTGTGTGTGTGTGTGTGTGAATTCAAAATATGTAGAAAAAACAAAAAAGTGTTGCATTTATATTTGTTGTGCAGTTGCCCACATGGACGAACACATCAAGTCTGCATCTGAGATGGAACTACTGTATATTAGTGATTACATTTACTCATTTTGTGCTTCTATGGAATTATTCACTGACTCTTAACAATCTGACTAGTCTTTAATATATGTATATTTTCCTTTGGCCAAGTATGTTGCCTTTGTCATGTCTGTGCCACTGAAGTAGAGATGTTAACACACAACAGAACTTTAACTCTAAAAACTTTTTCAACTTCAATCTACTAGAACTTCTAGCAGAAGCTGCTTTGACACAATCTACATTGTAACAGCACTATAAAAATAAAGATGAATTGAATTGAAAAAAAACTACAGCAACAAAATACACAGAAATCAGCCATATAGTTTCTGACACTCATCTTCTGCTTTATATTTGTTCAGCTCTTCAATTCAAACTAGTAATAGCCTTATGGTCAGACTTAAAATATCTTCTATATAGACACAGAGATTCTAAAAAACTTACCTACTGTTTCTTCGCTTCTCTTGCTCTGTTTGGGATTTCCATCATCATCGTGATAAGTAAGATGTTTGTTTATTTCATCTGATCTGGATAATTGCAAAGATCTGCTCTGCTCTTCTTCCTCAGACACGTCTTTAGCATCTTCATATACCTCACAAGTGACACAGTAATCTTTGGTATACTTCAGCATCATATCGACTCTATTAATGATCTCGGTAGGAAAATCTGGTTTCCCCTCTTCAAGCAGCAAATGTCTTCCTCTGCACACATTTATTAACTGGGAAATAGCTGTATTAATGTGTGAGCGGTGTGCTTTTTCATCAGTCATGATGATGATGGTGTGGTTAATCGCTTCTTCACTGAATTTGCTGAGCACATGTTTGACTCTTATCATGTCGTCCTCTGTGAAGTCTTTATACTGTAGAGCAAGTATAAACACATGAGGTCCTGGATCAGACATTTCTGCACACTCTCTGACTGTCTGTGTGATCTGATGATCTGAAGTGTCCGGACTCAGCAGATGAAGAGTGTTAATAACCATCACGTGTCTGTCTTTAACCGTTCCACCAATAGGTGTCACATTGTACTGCTCTAAAGCTGTATATGGATCACTCTCATCCACATCTGTTCCCAGGATTGAGTTTCTGACTCGGCTGTTTTCTGAAACATTCTTTCCCAGAAGAACAATCCTCAGAGCTCTCTCTAAAACATAAAAACAACACATCATGCAAAAATAAATACCCAAATATGTCACATCTCGTACCACAGTTTAGACTCAATGCTGTGAACTTTTTAAATTTACTAACAAATTTACGAACTTGGTATTGATTCTTATAGAGTAATCCAATAAAATCATGGGTGCAAGTTCAAAATAACGTATAATGCATTCATTAAATTATGCTTTATTGTTGTCTAAATAGTTTTGATTTGATCTGTTGACAATCATTACCTTAATATGTGTAACTTTCTGTATTTATAATTCTGTTTCAGCTGACTATATATGAAAATAGAAGAATAAAAATATGAGCATAAGAATGTTCATGTACTAATCATTTAGTAAAGGGGGGTATCTCAAAGCCCATTGACTAACTTTTATGTGAATGGTTCAGAAAAAAAATGTAAAAGGTTATGTTAAATGTACATATGTAAACTTCCTCTACAATGAGGTATATTACCTCTTGTTGGTAGTTGGAAGCAACTGTGGGACTTACTGTCATATTCCTGAGATGCACTTTCACCTTTCCTTAAATCATGGCCTTCCTGTTTTACCAACTGTCTGTCATCAGAATCTGCTGCTCTGCTGTCCAGCGATGAGTTCTGTTGTCCAGAAATCATTTCATCAACTTTTTTAATAAATAGAGAATGCTGTGTGTTGTGAAGCTGCAGATGTCCTCCTCCACATTCTGTAGATATTTCCTGAATAAACTCATTTTCTTGTGCAGATCTCAGTCCAGCATGACCTGGCTCATCATCAGTAGTCAGGATCATTGTGTGCTTCATTGCCTGCTCACCAAAGCAGTTCAACACTGAAGGTAATCGATCTCTTTGCTTCTCACTGAAATCCCTGTGCTGCAGCACCAGTATGATCACATGAGGTTCTGGAGAAGACAGTGCTGATACTTTCTGTGTGATTGCTTGTAGTTTGAGTTCTGGGTTGAGCAGCTGAGATGTGCTGATGACTGTGATGTTTCTGCCCTCTACTCTTTCACTGAACTCCACACCAGATGAGGACGCTTTCCTTTCAAATGCTTCTTTATTTAAGATTAAGTTTACAACTCTGCGGTTTTCTGCAATACTCTTCCCCAGCAGGACAATCCTCAGATCACTCACTGAAACACAAATTATAAACAACAGTTTATGAGAACACATGCTGTAATGCTTCTTGTTTATAAGATTTTTTTACAGCAATTATTTTTCACATACAAAGCAACTTGTATATTAATAAATGAAAACAAATATGAGCTGTTTTTTAATGTACTTACTGTTGGGACGAACATAAGGGGGACTATGTTCCCTCTTGCTTTCTATGATGTATTAAACAAACAAATAATCAGTTGACAAATAAGCATGTACAAATGCACAAAGAAATGTTTAATGGTGTATAAGACTTATTTTTTCCAGTATTAGGGGTGTAACGGTACATCCATTTGTCCTTAAGCAGAGATGGGGGACTCGAGTCACATGACTTGACTCGAGTCAGACTTGACTTGAGACTTGCTTGACAAATATCCCAAAAAAATACTTGACTTTAAAGATTACAAACAAGATGGCTAATCCAAGTTTATACTAATTAGTCTGACTCAGTGCTTGCCACACTTGGGCGGGCCATCTATTTCTCATTTGCATATTTTAATAATTTGATGATGTCATTAGGCTAATACATAGGCTATGTTATATACATATCTAAAATGCTTTTGCATTCAAATTTGCTTTGAACTTAAAAAGAGAGAGATGCAGATTCGGCCTGTCAGCGGTGGACATTGCTCCTGAATAAGAGAAAGCGGTTGTCTTTTTTAAACTTTTTTTTTTTTTTTTTTTACTTTAACCCATTGATAGTAAACGCTCAGGTTACTAAAGTAACCCTCGGAAATGCTATTAGTGGATTTGATTTGGAAAATTCACGTATTGGGAGGATTCGGTTCAGAAGCCACTTGTCTGAAAGAGTATGGAACGGGCCAATGAATGCCAATGAATTGGCAGCGTAAGCTTACGCAGGTGTGCTTCATTGCCAATTATCCCAGCATATAAGCACACGTGGAGCAAGCAGACGCCATCCTTTTAAGCTGAAGAGAATTTGCTAACAGCTAAGGGACAGTCATTATGGCGATGGTAAATAGCATTTTTGTGCGTTCCCCTTCGAGTGGGGAACTTCAATGCTATTAGTGGATTTGATTTGGAAAATCAAAATTGGGAGAACTATGGAAAACGCCATAATGACTGCACCTTACCAACGCCTCCGATGAGAGGATAGTCAAGCAAGCATGACGCTCCCACATCATGGGAGGCGCAGTCCTCCAATGTGTCCCTGGCCCTTAATTATCCCACTTCAACTGAAGTTTTACAGATTTAGATTTATTTTTCGGGAAGTCGCAAGCGTCTAGATAATTCTAGGAAAAATACAACAGTACGTTGGGAGCGTGCAATACCCATAGGAAGGACGCTGTGGAGGCCATCTGCTACCCAGTGGGGAGATATGATGTCAAATTCATATGGACTAGCCCTAAGGAGGAGAGTACGCATAATAAAGGTGGTTAGCGGAGAGGGGAGACACGTGTCCACCCGAAAGGGGGGAATGAACCGTGGCAGAATAAGCATATGGGATCGCCTAGTGGGGATCACGCATAGCGGGCACCTATACCCAAAACGCAGGCTGACCAGTGGGCAGACTGGCCAACTGTTCCACTGTTCTATTCAAATCACTGTTGACAATGCAAACACAGGCTGGAGAAACAGAGCTACTCTACAGCAGGGGGTAATGCAGGAATGCATCCTTCTCTTTTCACCCCAAGCCCCCCTTCTTGACCTTTAAGTGACTTGCTGATCAGAGCACATTTTAAATCAAATGTTCAAGGTTTTAAAATGGTGTACCTTGCAGCACTATATTCATGTTTGGTGTCATTTTAAATGTCTCTGTGTGATTGGTAAAGTGGTCTTAATTTTACAGTAATATTTTAGTGGTATATGTTGATTTGGTTTTTGACTTCTACAAGATCTTGATAAGATGCTCTCCCTCCTCAGAGATGGTTAAGTCCTCAAATTCACCAGGCCAGGGTTTCTGTGACGCCTCTATTGTCTTGAATTTATGGCTGTTTGTTTTGACTTGAGTATATAAGGTAAGATGTGCTTTAGGACGGGGGGAGATCTTGTAAAAAGACACCCATTGCAGCATCTCTGAGAATTATGCTGCAATGTATTTCTGTGGTCAGGTATGCATCTCTAACTCTTTGATTTATCCTTGATTAATGGATGTTGTATTGTTATAGTCTCATCTCTGAATTGGCTTCCTGATGATTTATTATGTAATTGTCAGAATACAATTTTACCTGACAAATAAAATGTTCAGTTTTGATTAATTCTGGAGTTTTGCGATTTCATTGTATCCAGTAGATTATGAGGAGTCTTCATTACCTTTATTGTGGCATAATTGAATTGATTAATAGGCACATTTGATTATTGTTAGCCATAGCGTGCCGATAACATGTAGACCTTTTAATCATTTAACCACTGGAAGTAGCAAGTTGTATGGGTTTGGCTAAGGATCTGTTTTTTAAGACTAGGTAAGCGTGATGCGACCAGCTTATTCAAATATAGTTAATCCTGCATCCTCTGACTATTTTCAGAGTGTCGACATATTGTCCGTGAGAAGAAGCGCAAACCCGGGGCGTGGAACTCTCAGCTATGTTGGTCCCTAATGAACGTACAATTTAGAATATCAGACCTCAGAAAATATCAAAACTCTAAATTAAATCATAGATGATGAATGTGATCCGTTCTTACAATTAGAAATACAATCTAAATTTTAGGATCATTAAAATTGGAGTAAAATTGAATTCGGAGCTAAAAAACGAATATAAATAAATTCTAATAAATAATAAAATTCTTTTCAGAAGCACTAGAAAAGGCTTACATGTATTAAACCTTCGACCATGCTGTTGGTTTCGTCATTGGGCTAATAGATGGAAGCCTACACCAGCAAGTGACTCCTCCGCTGAGTCAGTGCTGGGGGCCTCGGAGGAATCAGCAGGACTCACCTGATGGGGAACTTTACTGACAGATAAAAAGGCGCACGTATCTCTGTGTTAGGGAGAATGGCGCAACAAGCGTGTTTCAACACCTTCACCGACTTGTTTCCTCAATTACCAAAGGGTTACCTAATACCCTTGAGGAAACCGGCTCCACTCGCAGATTGTAAAACCTTGCAAATGTGTTGGGTGTCACCCAGCCCGCAGCTCTAAAGATGTCTGTTAGAGAGGCGTCTAAGAGGATGCGATGCTCCGAGTGGAGTGCACACGCACTCTCGGGGGACATGGCTCACCTTGGCTCTGATAAGCGAGAGAATGGCATCCACAAACCAGTGGGATAATCTTAGTTTCGATACGGCACTTCCCTGCTGCCGACCGCCATAACAGACGAAGAGCTGCTCAGATGATCTAAACTCTGAGTGCGGTCCAGATAATACGCAAGGGGTGAACTGGACAAATAAAGAAAGGGCTGGGTCTGCCTCCTCAGGGGGCAGCGCTTGCAGGCTCACTAAAAAAAAGTGTTGCATGCAGAATTGTTGCAAACAATTTATCTGTGCTAAATTTAAACAAACAAATCAAGCTTAATAATGTTCAACTTAATTTGTTTGTTTAAATTCAACACAAACAACACAAATAAGTGGAAAAACCTGGTATTAAACGGAGTGGTAGGAACCTTGGGCACATATCGCGGGCAATTACAGGCACGAGTTACTGACCGAAAAATGCCTCCGGGTCCCCGACCCTCTAATCGATATCAACGCGACCAGCAGTGCTGACTTCAGCGACAGAAAGAACTGAGTCGAGGATCGAAGGGATCTGACGCAGGCTTGTGTAACGAGGGCGAGATCCTAAGAGGGCATGAGAGGGGGCGGCATGGATTAATTCGCTTAGCGCCCCTGAGGAACCGGATGATGAGGTTATGCGTTCCCACGGTGCTGCCAGCCACCGCGTCATGAGAGCAGAGATGGCAGCCACGTAACCTTGAGTGTGGAGGGCGACAGCCTGCTCTCCAGCTTCTCTTGGCGTAAAGAAAGCACAAAGCTGATCTGGCAAATTACGGGGGTCTTCTCTGCGAGAGACGCACCATTCAGTGAATAGACTCCACTTCAGGGCATAGGCGCGCTCGGGGAGGGGGCTCTAGCCCGAGTAATGGTATTAGCCACTGCAATCGGTAGGTTACCTAAGTCTTCCTCGCATCTAAGGACTACCCGGAGGTTTCAAAGATCGGCGAGGGTGCCAGCTGATGCCCTGTCCCTGAGAGAGTAGGTGCTCTCTCAAAGGGAACTACCAGGGGAGGGCAATCGCGAGGAGGGAGAGCTCTGACATCCAGGTCCGGTTGGGCTAGAGGGGCGCAACCAGCAACCTGTTTCTTGTCCTCCTTGAGTTTGCACAGTAACTGCGCGAGCAGGCTCACCGGGGGAAACGCATATTTGTGCATGCCCCGAGGCCAGCTGTGAGCCAGTGCATCCGTGCCGAGAGAGCCCTCGGTCAGGGTAAAAAACAACTGGCAATGAGCGATCTCGGGGGAAGCAACAGAACGATCTGGGCTTCCCCGAATCGCACCCATATCAGCTGAACAGACTCAGGGTCGAGTCTCCATTCTCCAGGACGTAAAGGCTGCAGTGAGAGCGCATCGGCTGCACGGTTGAGCTTGCCTGAATATGAATGGCGTGCAGCGATTTCAGCCGCGGATGACTCCAGAGGAGCAGACGGCGGGCGAGCTGAGACATGCGGCGAGAGCGAATACCCACCAAGCGGTTGATACACGCCAACGCCGCCGTGCTGTCCGTCCTGACCAGCACGTGTTGCTGCTCCAGAACCGGAAAAAAGCGGTGGAGAGCGAGGAACACTGACAACAGCTCCAGGCGATATGCCAATGCAACTGGGTTCCTTTCCACAGGTCCGCAGCCGCATGCCCTCAACGCACAGCCCCCCAGCCCATGTTGGAAGCATCTGTTGAAATGACATCAAGACTGGGCGCCTGTCCTAGAGCAGTGGTTCCCAACCTGAGGTCAGCGCCCCCCTTTCATAAGGGGGGCGCGGGAGATGATAAGTATTGAGGTAGAAAAAGGCATAAAAGTGCTCCACTATTATATAGGGCTGTACAATTAATCGAAAATCCGATTTCAATATCAAGCGATTATAAAAAAACATTAATCTAGATAAACGATTATTGCATCATATACCGCCACCTTTCCGGTTGTACACGACCGCGTGCATATGTGTGTGTGCAGCACGCACACGCAGCCAAAAGCATGCGGCCGGTCAGCATTCACTCTCATTTGCACACTGAGACGAGCACAGGAGCGCAGACATCTAAAGTCATCTTAACGTTAGCGCTTTAATGGTCAAATAGGTGTCAAAACGCGGTGTTTAGTGATTATTTATATTAACCCTCATTTGTGTAATAAACAAACGAGTTGAGAATCAAAAGACGTGAAAGAGAAACCATTAAAGAGACAGCGCGCTATAATCCTTCTGCCGCCTGTTTTTATGATTAATCAAACAAGGAGAAAACCCTCGCTGCTCTTGACTGAAGGACTGCTTTAGCTAAAGTGTTTTTCTTACAGTGAAGATGCTTAAAGCACAGTTTGTTTAATATTTTTATTCTATTGTATTTATTTCTCATTTCTTTGCAGGGTGGAAAATAACTGTATGTATTCAGTTGAAGTCAGATTAGCCCTCCTGAATATTAGCAACCCTTTTCCTGCCCAATTTCTGTTTCATGGAAAGAAGTTTTTTTTTTTAAACTTATTTCTGAACATAATAGTTTTTATATGTAATTTCTAATTACTCATTTCTTTTATCTTAGCTATGATGACAGCAAATAATATTTTACTAGATATTTTTCAAAATACAAGCATTCAGATTAAAGTGCAGTTTAAAAGCTTAATTAGGGTTAATAGACAAGTCATTGTATAACAGTAGTTTCTTCTGCAGACAATCAAAAATATATATTGCTTAAGGGGGCTAATAATATTGAAGTTAAATTGGTTTCAAAATATTTAAACCTGCTTTTATTCTAGCTAAAATAAAACAAATAGAAGAAAAAATATTATAGGAAATACTGTTAAAATTCCTTGCTCTGTTAAACATAATTTGGGAAATATTTGTTAAAAAAAATCTCAGAAGAGCTAATAATTTTGACTTCAACTGATAATTGTTTTGAATAATTGTGATTACAATTATGACCAAAATAATCGTGATTATGATTTTCCCCAAAATCGGGCAGCCCTACTATTATATATGTATTTTTAAGTACCAAAAAAAAATCTATAAACACATGCTTAAAATTCCAACATAATAGTAAAAATAATTAAAATAAATAACTTTAAATAATTATTTAAATTTTGCTCACTCACACAACGTGCTTGTCAACGTGTCGTAAAAGGCAAAATCAAAACAAAAATGGCAGAGAAACATAAATGCAGTGATTCTTCAGAGACGAAAAAAAAGATTAAATTTTGACAAAGCCAACCTAAATTTTGGTTTTATTGAAGGCCAAGACAAGTTAAAACTGATTAATTTATATTTTCTATACATATTATTAAATATTTATATTACACAAACACACACACACACACACATATATATATATATATATATATATATATATATATATACATACATACAGTACATACACAGTACATACGTGTGTGTGCGTGCGTGTGTATTTATATGGTGGGGGGCATCCAATGTTTGTATATGTTCATGTTCAAAAATGGCAGAGAAACGTAAATGCAGTGATTCTTCAGAGGCGAAGAAAAAGATTAGACAGTATGACAACGCCAACCTAAATTTTGGTGTTATTGAAGGCCAAGACAAGTTAAAACCGATTAATTTATATTTTAATATTAATATATATATTTTCTATACATATTACTATATATTAATATTACACACACACACACACACACACACACACACACACACACACATATATATATATATATACACACACACAGTACATATGTGTGTGCGTGCGTGCGTGCGTATGTATTTATATGGTGGGGGGGCTCCAATGTTTGTATATGTTCATGGGGGGGGGCCCCAAAGAAAAAGGTTGGGAACCACTGTCCTAGAGGCACTCAGGCCTGTAGGAAAGAGGGGTCACTCCCAGGGCTGAGGGCGCGGCGACACAGCGCAGTAACGGAGACTAGGTGTGCGTGCGCGTGCCATGCACGTCTGGGGACTCGATCGTGAGGCCAATGCTGGAGTGGTCTCATATGGAGTAATCCGAGCGGCGTGAAGCGGCTGCGGATGCCATATGCCCCAGGAGCCTCTGAAATAATTTCAGTGGGACCACTACTTTGCTGTCGAGCTCTTTCGGAAAGTACAGCATCAGCTGAGCGCTCTCCGGAGAGACGCGATGCCATGGTGATCGATTCCAACTCCAGCCCGAGAGAAGAGATCCTCTGCACGGGGGCGAGTTTGCTCTTTTCTCGGTAGACCTGAAACCCCAACAGGTAGAAGTGCCGGAGCACTTTGTCTCTGTGCATAATCGAAGGGCTGGCCCGCGCTAACCAGGCAGGCAGAGCTCTCGCTAATGGACTCATCGCTACATTTGCTGAAGTACCAGCCAGTGGGGCAGTGGGGCAGCGCGGAGTGGGTGTGCTGATCCGGGAAGCGCGCGGGTCCCGGGGAAGAGCTGGATGTGAGAGATTTGCTCTCACTCCGCACCCAAGCTCCGAAGGGGAGGCTCGAGGGGTGGGAGAAAGAAGACCGTCCTCCCAGCACTCGTGAGCCACTGGCGAAACGCCCCGAACCTGTGAGCTAGAAAGCACAGTGTCTCAGACTGGCAGATTTCGGGCTGTCACATCCAGGGAAGTGGAAAAGTGCTCTTTCATGATGTTTTCATGGCAGTAAAAAGTGCCGTTGGAAATGGGGCCCCGCCCTCCAGCGGGGAAAGAGCAAGTTTCCTATTCTCCAGATGACCTGTCCCAGGGACGCTTCGCGGTCCGTTGTCGGACTTAGCAGTGTTCTGGGGAGGGGGGGCTGCCTGCTCTCGAGGTGCTTGACACGCTCGCTTCGCCAGAGGCGTGTGCGGGGGCGGTGCAGCTCTCGTAGGCGGGAGCCTTTGGCGAGGAGCAGATATGGATTGTACGGCCGGCAGAGCGGGCTTACGGACCCGCCGATTGGTGACATCACCCAACAGACTGCTCTCCCACCGCCTCAAATACCTGAATGAATTCACAGACTGTGTCGCCGGACATGCCAGCTTGGGATATGGGGAAGTCAAGAAAGCGGACTTTGTCAACTTCGCGCATATCAGACACGGCCAAGTTTTAGTCAGGGGTGGCGCTCCTGGACCACTAGTGTGGACATCGTCCTCCCCAACACACACGCAGCGGACTCAGTGGTCCAAAGAGCATAGTTGGATGCGGTGCGAAGCTCATAAGCATGGGTTGGACCCACCCTTGTGCAGCTTGGCCAGCGCCTGCGCTTGGTAGCGCTGGTAGGTGGCTATCGCATGCAAGGCGGAAGCAGCCTGGCCCGCAGCCTTGTAAGCTCTAGCTCTGAGGGAGGCAGATAACTTACAGGCTTTGGATGGGAGATGAGGCGGACCTCGCCAAGAGGAGGCGCCGCGCGGACAAAGATAAAGATTGACTGCAATCGCGCGCTCAACCTGAGGAATCGCCACATACCCCCTGGCCACTCCACCGTCCAGAGTGGTGAGGGTGGAGGGACACGCAGCACGAGCAGAAAAAAAGTGCCCTTCAAGACCACGTGAGCCTACTGTGCACCTCCGGGAAGAAGGGGACGAGAGGCATTGAAGGCTTTGCCCTCTGGTCCTCTACGTAGCATCCATCTAGTCGGTCCGGCCGCGGAGCTGGGGGATAAACCATCTCCAACCCCACGGCCGAAGCAGCCCGGAAAAGCACGGCTAACATGTCCGTTTCAGAATCCGTTTTGACAGCGCTCACCTGCCCGGAGGGGGCGAGCGGGTCTGGATCATCATCGGACAATGAAAGCCCACCCTCCGATGCCACGGGGGACATCTGATCTCTGGTGTCAGCGAGCGTGAGAGCTACCATCTGGTTAGACGGATCACTTCCAGTGCCCGAAGCTTGGATGGAGCGCTTGGAGGAGCGGGAGGTTCGCGAGCCCTTGGGCAGCAGATTATCTCCCGCTGAGACCCTCAAATCTGCCCGAGTGCCCGCTGCTTTTTTAGAGCAGGAGGCAACTGGGGTGGCTCGCTCTCTTACGAAAGTTAGCCGCGATCTTAGCTGTGCAACGGTCATGGCATCGCAGTGACGACATGAACCGCCCCCGAGCACCAAATTCACATGCTGGACCCCCAAACATGCAACGCAGTGCCCGTGCTCATCATCCGGAGCCAGGAAACCCCCGCAACCAGAAACGCACAGTCGGAGCGCCATCCTGAAAAGGACGTGCTGCAGGACTGTGTTGCTCTTTTAGGAAAAATGCAACTATACGCACCGCTCTGGAGGACCGGACCCAAAGAACGCCAGGCAAGGGAGAAACCCAGCTCGACCGTCTGCCGCCGCGTATACCCACTCTGGACAGGGAGACACTTGTTCGCTCGAAGTTGCTGTAGCCAGCAAGAGGAACCCTCATCGACTCGATCAGAAAAGTCTCTGAAGCGAAAAGGATGGCGTCTGCTTGCTCCACGTGTGCTAATATGCTGGGTTAATTGGCAATGCAGCACACCTGCGCAAGCTTACGCTGCCAATTCATTGGCATTAATTGGCCTGTTCAATATGAAAATGAAAACTGAAATAAAAAAGTGTCAATAAAAGGAAAGCTTAAATTTACATTTTCATTTGAATTGTGTCACTATTATAGCGTGAACATGATTAACACGCTTTGTAAAAATTGTTTTTGCATTTTATTTTTCAGTTTGGCTTTTTGTTTTAATATTGGCAGTCTTGACGTGGAAATGCAGTGAAAATGAAATGTTAAATTTGCAACTTCATTTTAATTATCAATTTGACAGGGAAGATTGTTTGTCAAAGTGAAAATGAAAATAAATAATTTCATTTCGTTTTCAATTTTGGCAGATATTTTGCGAACAGTGTTTTAAAATGTGATTTTAATTTCGAATGTTTATTTGATTTATTTAAAATTGGCAGGATTTACCTTCCATACCAGTCACCATGTGTCAGAAAATGAAGTTCTACTTTCAAACCGTGCTAGATAGTCCCACACCTTATTGGATGTTTAATTGATACTTTTTCTAAAAATTTTATTGGTTGCAATTATTTTTAAACATCTGTGCTTAGTACGAGCCTTAACAAAACGTTGTTGCCTGAGGACAAATCTGTGCTGTAGAGGGTTAAGTAAAACTGTTTTGATTAAATACACCAAAAATTGTCTAAATTCATCAATACATAGATTAAAAAAAAAAAAAACATTATTTTTTAAGGGGCTGTGCTCATTCATGCGGAACACTGTATATTATGTTTTTTTTAACACCTCTGTTAAAATCTCCAAATAAAAGTTACCATTTCATCACACTTTACATAAATCTGCAATTATATATTTGTATTGTTTGAGGGAAGTTTCTCATTTTGGATCAGCCACTTTTAAATGAAGAAAATAGCCCCTGAAATCAAAGGTGATTTGATGGTACATTGTTAAATTAGATTTTTGATGTTTGTTTTTCCCAAAACACTCTGCAAAACTGTTTGTTTACTCATTTGAATAAATATTTCAATACATTGATGGTTTATCCAGTTAGTACATTTGTTTACTTTGTATGGTTGATTTATTATGATATGTTTTTTTAGGCTACATTAGATATTGCTGTCACTAAGCTGATTTTTACAATGCTGTCAACTACCTGGTTAAATGTAGTACCTTTCTAAAATGTTTACAGGACATGCTTTGAAATAATTAAAAATGTTATGTTTCTACAATGTTGATGTAATTGATAATCTGTATATTGTCAATATATGCAAGTATGTTTTTAGCAAAACGTACATGCAACATGAATTAAGATTAAAAAATCAATCAGAATGCCACTTACAAGAAACAAAACAACATCTGATCTTACACAAAAGAAAGTTTGCTTTAACTGCATGTGACAACATTCACAGGAGAGTCTTTTTCACTCGTTAAAACACACACACACACACACACACACACACACACACACACACCTTTAGGCCTATGCATCGCATACTTCCGCGTTAACAAACGTTGGTAATAAAAGCAGATCCTCCGTAAATCTTCTATAGTATAGTATCCTGCATGATTTAATTCACCTTTATTTTCTAAGTAAAAGTGTGGACTAGGTCATAAATCCATAAACGCATCAGTTCGTTGTAAACAGTTAGCCTACTTACTCGGATGATGTGCCATCTCTGCTTCCACCGCTTCAGAAAGCTTGACTGAGTTTTGCCAATCAGAGACAAACATGAGTTCAATAATCAGTGTGTGATTAATCAGCTCGTTAGCTCACTCCAGCAGATATAAACGCCGTGTAGATTATGCGTGAAACCTGATAGCATCAAATAAACCACAATTAAACTGCAGCAAAACACATTAAAACGAGGCGAATTTGATGTGGTAATATCTTAAGGTTAGTTAATATTCCAAAAAGAAAACAATATAAACCATTATCACTATTAAATATTAAAGCCACGTTGATTTGCGACGTACCTGAATTTTACGCCATTTTATCGCCAGCTCCTTCTTAGTGGCTTATAACCGAAAGTGAAAGTCTGACACAAGAACAACTGACTTGCGCCCTCTAGTGGTTAAAAAAAACACTATTTAAGATGCTTCAACTATTAATGAAACCACGCATACATTTACTGAAATATTTATTCATCAATTTATTTACTGGTTAATCTTAAATTGGCAGGTGGCCACAAAGCTCAACTTGTGAAATCATTTTGTAAATTGTTTTCCACACGGTTGAATCTAAAGATCAAGGTAAATTGTATAGAATGGTTTGTTTACATTTTGCTCATCTAATTATTCACCTTATTCTGAATAAGACAGCATTTAGGCGCTTAAATGAGTCACTTTTAGAATATTTCATGTTTCCATTTTATCAATGCTATGACAAAAAAATAATAATATTAATCTTCACTATGCCATCGGACACTCCCGTGTGGTTCATCTTTATGGGTGTTTCTTTTATTTCACAATGCCACATACATATATTCTATTATTTTAATACTACAAGTCTAAATATGTGGTGTACAAATTCTTGCTCATAATCCCACTCTTGTTTGTGGTCAACACTGCTGTGTGCGCATCTACTGTAGCAAAATGCAGCAGAAATTATACTTCTTGCAACTAAAATAATACTCTACATTGTCCTAATCTGATGCATTTATAATATAAAATGGATTAAGGTAATCTAAAAATGTGTTTATGCACTAAAAAATATGGGGTTATTTTTTCTACCCATCTTGAGTTGAGGCATTTGGGTAATTTTGGTGGTTATTTTCAGAGTCTTGAGTAGTTTCAATCCAGCTCTTTGGGTCATATCATCTCATAGCAGGGGCTGACTGAGATACCACATATTATGTGCTAATTTGTTTAAATGCAATGAAAAGTGTAACAAACGCAGATTCCTTGCGTTTTCAGATGATTAAATTGAGATTAATGCTCTTAGTCAGACCTTTCTGAATTAAAAAATTCTTACTAGCACCGTTTGTACACCTGCTGCACATCCCCCATCGTACTTCAGTGATGCAGAGTCAAAACAACACAATTGCTGGGTCATCTTTTGCAGGCATTTCTGGATCAGATTAACCCATTTAAGTAAAACCAATCACTGAGTAGAAAAACAAACAATTTATGGGGTTAAAAATAAAAACCCCAATTACTTGCGTTAATTTAACCCATTATGTGTTCTGCCCTATATTTACCCAGCAGCAGGGTTAAAATCAATCCACTTTAGGTAGCTTTTAACCGTGTTTTTTAGAGTGTATAACAGGAATTGATTAAATTTAATATTTTCATTATAAATAAAAAATAAAAATAAAAAAAAAAATAAAAAAAACTCACAAAATCTTTTGTTGGTATTTAATGTGGAAATAGAAAGATTTGCAATTAAGTGAAATGACTTTTGGTACAACATATACATTTGTTATGTGTTGGGTTCTTAACACCATGGTGGTTCAATCCATTTCAACCTGTCAAACTGTAATTAACCAGAAGAGTGCAGTGTTGAGGTCAGCAGGATATAGCTAAAGTACTAAACTATGGTATTCATTGTATTATGCTTGCTTGAGTCTGTAGGACTGAGCAGAGGCAGGTGTAAGACAATAATAATTGCATGTTCTTTGTTTGTGCGGTACTTGGAGAGAAAAAAAAAAAAGACAACTAAACCCAGACTGATTCTTACTTCACACAACACA